CCTAGAGTAATTGTTCTGAGATTCAGGTGGAAAATTAGCATAAAGATCTTTCCTTTCATCGTTTGGTCACAGTCGATAAACGTGTCAAGGCACTATCAGAGACTTGTTTCGACCTCAGGCAATTACTTAATCGTCTGATACTGTTATCCGTAGACTCTTAGCCGGAAGGGGGTCGGTTTTAGTCAATTCGAGGGAAATGCAGTACAGAGATGCAGTACGCGGATGTTATTCATCAGCTCAAGGTGATCAAATCATAGAAAATTTTGGCAAACATAGACGGACGACGCTAACGATGAACAGTTGGTTTCTCAGCGTCGCAACTTTGGGATTCAGCATTTGGATGGCAGTTCTTGTAAACAGGCATCCGATTCAGTTTTCGGGGTCAAGGTTTGAGAAAGGCAAGCCTGGCTGGTCATTCAAAGAGCAGGAACGACGCTGTCACTCAACGTGCAGGTAAACGATTTGTGGAAAAAATAGTAATTGTACGCGCCTTCATTTGGAAGGAATGAGGTTTTACTAAATATGGTAATGTTTATCAGTAGCCATTGGCCCCGTATTTCGAATTTTATGCCGTAATCTAAGTACTGTTTCAGAATTATGTTCAATTTCTGTGCTATTTCGTTTGTCATGTTTAAAAGCAGCATGCTTGTGTGATTCTCTTTTAGCTTAAAAACAACTTAATAACTCAGACCAAAAACAATTTTTCAAATTCCACTTTACCAGTCAAAACAGAAAATATGAATCGCAATTTAATGTCCGGCTTTGATGGTCTTGCTAACCGTAGATCTCATTGTTGTAGCTCAATAGTATTAATTTGAATAGTTTTGCAATGCCAGTGCAAATTGGGACCACTAATGTAAATCAAACAAACTTAGAATACATATTTTCACTGTACTTATGGCATTATTATCGTATTTATAGATGACTGAACATTTTGTTTACTATTGACTCCTTTCACTTAGTCCTATAACTCATCTATGAAGTCACAAACTTGCTACCATTTACGCCTGGTTTGCAACTATGCGCAGTTGCGCAAAGTTTGTCCCTTCCAGCAGATAGTTAAGATGAAAGGTCACTGTGGGTTTGGCTGCAGTGGATTCGGAGTGATCACACTCCCTCTGGTTTCATGCGGACATATTATTTAAATAAAATAAGTGATTTTTGAAAATATTTTATAAATTCTAATTATTCTCAATGTTGAGACCTCCGAAAACAGTTGTCATTTGGTGAATTGCTACCGACATTATAAAATATCGACTTATCGATTCATTCCAGGTTCTTCATAGACCTCTTCATAGTAATCAAGGTTAACTGGTAGTAATCACACCTGCGCCAATTTTTCAGCTGAATAAAAAGGCACTCACATGTGGTTCAGCCTCCTTGCTTCCTACCACAGAATGTGAATGGATCTGATAACAAGATACAGACGAAATATATGTTGGCTGCTCTGTTACTGTCCGCATGATCTTATTTACTCTCTTTAATGTTTTAAATTGAATACTCCACAGATTAGTATAAAGCAGGATATGTCCTATTGTACTTTAGACAATAGGTTTCATTTAGGTAGGAACCATGGAAGCTTCTGTTTACTTTCAGGTCTCTCAAAGCAGCCTTACTAAGCAATTATGTGCATCTCATATCGGTTGAAGTCAGTGATTAGAGGGTTTAGCACCACCAGTCATGCTCCCAAAGGAACGGAGAGAATTGACAGACAAAGGGAAAATAATAATATCCAATTTTGCTGTGGAAAAACGCTAACACATATGGATGTTACCGTGCAGGGTGGCAATCAATCCGTACCGGTATGGACTAATGCTAAATCGTTGTTCAGTCCAGACAGGTACGAAGTAGCTCAATTTTTATTCAGCTAAATGTTCTGCAAAATACATGCACATAAATGTATGAATTTAAGGCTTGTCGCTGAGAAAATCAATTGGCACTTAAAACTGAGCTTCATTCAACACAGCGGAACGATCCACACAGTAGATGAGGTTCCGACTGGAATTGCTAGCCCTCACAGCCAGAATGGCTTCACTCATGAAGTGTTTATTTGTGAGATACTGCGCCGGTAAAATCGTTTGGTCTAATGAAACTAATCGAGGAATACCTTCAGTAGGTGACTGTTGCCTTCATCACCGTTGGCAGGTCGGTTACTGCTATCGCTCTATGATCCTTTAATTTTATAAACCCTTCAAAGCCTCCAGGACCTATCTATGCGTTGGATGTTCCCATGTTATTGTTCACTGTTTGGATCGGCAGAGCTGCTAGTACTAATCGTTCAAATAAATAAGCTGATCGGCTGATAAGGCTTAATCCGGTGGCCG